ACTGTAATATACAAATAATGACATGCCAGTAAAGCTTCATTTAATGATTTGGGGTTTGAAAGATAAAGGACTTATTTGTGTCCTTGCTGCCAGGTTATCACTTTCTAAGTTCAATCAGCTTAAAACATGTACAACATGTGCACCTGAAAGATAAATATACTAACAGCATGTGTACTTAAAATGTATTCAAGTCATGCTGCTTAGAAGAGCCAAAAAAGAAAAACAGATACTGAAACTTGTTTTGTGTTTTAAATGGTCAAATCGGTTGACTAATCCATAGTATAAAAAACAAGAAAATTCACCTAAGCAGTAAAAGTGTATAATCTCAGCAACCAGGTGAAGCTCATTATTTACTTATATGTACAATGTAAAACTCATAGCTAAATTACAATAAGAAATACTAGCTCATAGAATAAGTTAAGGAGTATGTAAATGTAAAAAATAAACTTGGGGTGAAAGCTGGCATACTAATAATCAGCATCACTGGATAATAATATATCCCATGAGAAGTGCTAAAAAAAAATATAACCCAAATACAATGAGATGTCCTTCTCATTTAAAAAGAAACCCATAAAGGTCTTTTTGGCTGAAAAAGTAACAGAAGGAAGGCTTTAAGAAATCTTTTTTTTTTTTTTTTTATTCATCTTTGCATCCAGAAATGGGGTACAGGCCAGAGGTGCAGGAGCGGGGAGATGATTCATCAGAAATAGAGTGGGGAGCAGAACAAGTAGATCGATAAAGTACTGTTCAGGGGAGCAGTGGGCAAGACTGGTGAGGTCTGCTCACCATGTGGATCACCTCCAGGGTGGGGGGGCACTGAAGCAGCCACTGACTTGACTTAGCTTTGCAGTGCAGCACTCCAACCTGCGGCACTACTAGGGAGGGCCTGGCTTTAAGAAATCTTAAAAAGAGATACTCATACTACATAATTTTGTGAGTTAGTTTTTGCACAACATCCTTGCCTCATCATGTACATCTTGATCATTTCACTGAAACTTTTAAAAACTGGAGGTAAGGAGATAACAAGGTAGTTCAAGTAACAACTTCCTGTGGCAAACTGACATTTCTCATTCAAATGAAATGTCTTTCATTTAAAGAAATAAAGGCAAAATGGTATTCTCTTTGTTTAAAAGGTCATAGTAGCCTTAAAAAAATAAAATAAAGCTAACTGGTTAATACTGGCATATCCAAATGATCAATGCTTGTAATTAAAAAATGAATGAAGCAGGTCTTGGTTTCCTGATACAAACCAATTGCTAAGCCATGTAAAATGCAAAAAGGTAAGATACAGGAAATGATAGTGCATATATTAATCATAACTACCACATATTTATAAACAGTGGAAGAGGAGAGGACATATGTATTAGCTTATATATGGATAAAACATTTCTGAAAGGATAAATAGGAAATTGGTATGATGGGAGGAGCTACTTGACTGTTTTGACTTTTGAGCTACCTGAATGAATTATTCAAATAATAAAGTCAGAAACATAAAACAATATATAATCCCCCTTCCTTTCACTACTTCACCATGTGTGTGCCTTCTTTCCTCTGATTGATTTCCTTCAGGGTTGAGGTAAGATGTTAGCTTTGGATTCATTAAAACTTGTGGCCCAGAGTATTTAAACACTGTGATGATAATGAGTACTATTTAAAATAATAGAAACATTTGTTGTGAAATGCCTGGCATTTAATATGTATTAATGCACTTAGGCAGTTGATATGTTTTAATTTATGTAACCCCCTATTCTATGAGATATACAGTATACAATTATGATAAATGAAACTGAAGTAGAAAGAAATTTGCCCAGGTCCCACAGTTAGGAAGTTAGTAATAAAGTTTAAAAATGAATAGATGTCATTGGGTCCCAAAAGAGATACTTTACACCTATTCACAATCCTATAAAATAGGAGATATTATGATTTCAACAGGTAAGGAAACAGGCTGAGAGAGTTTTCCATCTGGTAGGCCACAAAATTCCCTGAAGTAGTCACAATAGTGGCAACAGGATTCAAACCCACACCTGTGATTCCAAAACCTAAATTCTTTCCACTGATTCTCTATCATACTAAGTAGTGTAAAATATTTAATTTACCACAAATTACTGTTATTTAAAGTGATATTGCAGTACACTGTCTCATTAATAAAGAAAAATCTTTGCTCTTCCCATTCCTGTGTCTACTATAATCTTAAATTCAGATTTGAGTGCTAACTTTTCATAAGCAGTGTCACTGAAGATAACACTACATAGTAACCCCCAAATTATCTAATTATGTAAAAGATGAATGGATCAATACAATTGGAGGAAAAAAGGTAACACTGCACATAAAGATTTGCTTATTAGACTCTATTCCAGGCTGGCTATAAATAGTTTGTGAAGCCATATCTGATATTAATTAGTAAATAAAATCATAAATTTCAGGGGTACACTCTAAATATAAAATTACAATAATTTCCTCTATCATGGCAAAAAATCCCAAAGAATTTTAAGCCTAGATTAAAAGGAGGCTATATACTTGGTTTATTATTGTAAGCTCTAAAACAAAATCCAGCTGGTTTTAGAATGATACAAAGTTACTTCTCTATGAAGAAATGAAAATTCCTATTAATGAGATCTAATCCATAGTGAGTTTGAGAGTGCAGAAAGGTGCTGCTTTTATAAATCACATTTCTAAGTTTTCTTCAATTTTCAAATGGAGGAAAAAAATCATTCAAAGGAGTAACGCCAATCTTAAATTCCAGAAGTGCCCTTTAACTTTTTTCAATTTGTGTCTGTGTTCTGAATATGTCTCCATTAAAAAAAAAAAAAAATCATCCAAGGCTATGTAACTATGTGGTAGAAATATAAATTGAGCACCATGCTCCAAGAGAATATACAAATGTTAACACACAAGTTTACAAAATATGACCTGCAATTATTAGTTATAAATCGATAAATAAAAATTAAAAGATCTTTTAGCTAAGATTAAGAAGGAACCCAACAGATTTGCAATTTCCCAAAGGAAGAGTTATTGTCATATTTTCAATATAAGAGGAAAAATATTCTGATGCTGGTTTGCAGAAAATCCTTCTTAAGGACAAACAGTAATGTACCATCAATAATGGTATCATTTTCTCAGTGTTAAGAATTAAAATCATTTCCCCAATTTTTAATGAAAAAAACTCTCTACTGCAGCTTTTTAATTAAGTTTCTCAGCACGGTCAAACTGCTAATGTGGGTCTTGTGAAAGACTTAACAATAGTTAAGTAAAACAGTTTTTGGAAAAGTGATTTGGATACAGAAGTCAGAAAACAGTGCTTCTATTACCAATCTATTCCTCACATGAGTTCTATCATATCACAACAAATACAGTAGGTATTTTAAAAACACATAAACCTGTTCATCCTTTTACCTCCTAAAATGACCGTTTTTGGTTTTATTTTTACACCAGGAAATGAGCAATGAAAGATTTCAATAATCGGCCACCAAAAGTATCTTTTATACTCAACCTTTAGACTGCAGACCTGAGGCTGGAAATTAATTGCAACTTCTAAAGCGAGGCTGGAAATTAATTGTAACTTCTAAAGCCTGTACCATGGGTCATATTCCGGATCTTTAAATACTGTCTTTTAATCTTTAACGTGCCAATGACTTTTCTGTGGTCCCTTTTCCCCAACAGGCGTAGAGAAAAAATAAGCCTGTGGCTTACGTTATTGTCAGTCTGAGGCTGGGGTTGCCTACTGCATGCGAGACAAATAATACTTTTAAATGCCTATTTTTAGACTTAGTATTAATCTCTTATTTAAGTCTGGACAGAAATGTGGGGAGGAGGGGGGAAGGGAGGAGCGGAGGGAAAGGGAGATCCGAGAACCCAAAAGCTGTTGGCATAAGTCGCAAAAACTGAAAAGTGATGTAAAACAAAAGTGCATCGGCCAACATTCGTCTCCACCAAGTGTTTCAGAATGATAAATCTCAAATGATTATTACCTTACTGAAAAGGGTTAAACCGAAACTATTTCGAACACCAGCTTCCCTTTTGCAAGATCCCCACAGTTTTAAAAAAGTTACTTCAAACGTTCTTCTTTGCACCCCCTTCCTCCCCAAACACTGCATTTCCATGACTGCTGACTTAAAGGGAGGGGAAGAGGGTAGGGAAGAGAGACAAAAATGACCGAAAAACGCCTGAGTTCTCATCATTTCAACTCGGCAGAAAAGACCAGAAAACCGCATTTCCCCAGTGGGGTGGGAGGCGGGGGAACGAGCATAAATAAAATACAGTACGAGAAGAAACCTTTGGTTTCGAACTTTATTGCACAAAGAGCGCGGAGAGAAGAGTAGGTCAGACGCTGCAGCGTTTCCCCTCGCGGAGCGGGCATGGCAGACACCGAGCCACGGGGAAGGCAGAAGGCACCTTCACCTCTTCTGCCCTCCACTGTCGCCTTCTTCCTCCTCC